AATGTCGGGACTGTGCCTTTTTACTTGTCAACCTTGGGGCTTCTCAGCCTCAGCAGCCAGCAGCTGTCTGAGTGAAGAAAAGCCTCTAGCTCCAGTGGGTCGGGAGCAGGAGGCGGAGCTGGATCCCAAGGGTGAGGGGCTTTTGCCTATCCCCTGGAGCCTGGCACTTTTAACTTGGACTTAAAGCCTCCAAATTGTAAGAATAAACTCCTGTTTGTTAAGGCCATCCCATTATGGTATGATTCCTGTCAGAGTGGCACTAGGTAACCAGAATAAAGGCTTATCATTTTTCTTTGAGGTTACCCTATGATTTATAAATTTATCCCCAAGTTTAGCACAGTTCATTCTATCTTGCAACTCTCTTGACTTCCTCACCATTTAGAAGTTCTGTAACTACACTATTCTTTCCCTCTTTCTGTTTTGTAGTTGTCCTCATTTGCCAATTGATGTGTTTGCTTCCCGGTTTATAATCTTGTGAGCTTATTTTACTTTGGATACTTTCATAACTGGGTTGGTTTCTGGTTTACGTCAGCATGTGTATTAATGGTCAGTTGTTTGGTTCTCTGTTCAAAGGACTCCCTTTAGTATCTCTTGTAAAGTTGGTCTGGTTTTAACAAATTCCCTTAGTTTCTGCTTATCTGAAAATCTTCTAATTTCATCATCATTTGAGGGACAATTTTGCCAGGTATATAATTGTTGGTTGGAAATTTTTCTCTTTCAGGGTTTTATATATACAATCCTGTTTCCTTCTTGCCTGTGTGATTTCTGCTGAGAAATCAGAGCTTACTCTTATTGGTTGCCCTTTGTAGGTAACTTTTAATTTTTCCCATGCTCCTCCCAGGATTCTTTCTTTGTCTTTGGTTTTGGTGAGTTTGATGATGATATGTCTTGGTGATTTTTCTTTTAGGGTCTATCCTGTTTGGGGTTCATTAGCCTTCCTGAATAGAGATATTCTCATCATTCATAATATCAGGGAAGTTCTTGTCCAACAAATCTTAGACAATTTTCTCAGTGGTTTTATATTTTTCTCTTCCTGTTCTGGAATTCCAATTAAACCGAAAAGCCAAAATCACTGCCATTGAATCAGATCCGACTCATAGTGACCTCTTCTTGAGGTTTCTGAGGCTGTATCACTGTAGAAGTAGATTACCCAACCTTCCTTCTGGTGGGTTTGAACTGCCAGCCTTCTGATTACCAGTCAAATACCTTAGGCACTACTGTTACACATAGGTTTATTCCTTTTGATCCTACATGAATCTTAGGCTTTGTTCATTTTGTTTTGATCTTTTTTCTGATTGATCCCTTTACAAAGTAGTATTCAGGTATTTGTCTTCAATCTCATTAATTCTGTCTTCCATTGATTTGATTCTACTCCTTTGCCCTTTCAATGTGTTATTTTTTTCTAAAGATTTAGTATTAATCTTCTGGATTTCTATCTGTAGATTTTGTATCATTTCTAATTTTTCATTTATTTTGTCATTTTGTTCTTGTATTTTCTTTTGAAATTGTTCTAGGGTTTTGTTTGTGTTTTTCTTAATTTTGTCAGTGTTTTCCTTGATCAGTCTCTCAATTCATTGAATGTACCTAAATAAAAGTCTTTTGAATTCCTTTTTAGGGAGTTCCAATGCTGCTTCCTCCTCAGGGATGTGTTCTGGGTCTGCATCCTGCTCCCTTGTTTGTCTTATTTTATCTTACTTCTTTGTGTGGACTGTGATGGCCTGTTGTCTCTGAGACATTGTGGCCTTGTTGTATTTATATTTAATTGGTGATTGTATGTTGGAGTGATTCACCTAAGATTTTTTTTTTTTTTGGATGTATCTGAGTAAGCAGGGTACTGTGCTCCTGTATTCACTAGTTGGCAGCACTTATGCACTCACCACCTGTCTCCTGGTAGGTGTGATAGAGAATGAGAGTGTCTGCACAGGTCTCTTAATTGTGAAGAGCAGTTAAGGGTGAGTCAGGCTCTTATTGGTGGTCTATATTGTTGACCAGTTGGTGCAGAAGGAAGTGGTGGCTTTCACTCAGTAAGCAGAGCTGCAGGAGGTGCGGGTGTGGTTGGTTCATATGGGCACAGTTGCTGTCTCCCACTTTCTAGTCCTCAGTGTCTGGAATGTTCTTGCAGTCCCCGGCAAGTGGCACCTATTGTTAGGTCTCTGGAATCAGAGAGAACACTGTTGCTTTAAATATCCAAAATGGTTGAACTACTTGTAAACATTCAAAATGGCTACACCCTCTAGACAGCCAAAAATCCACAGCTCAGCCCCCCTCCCTCTTTGCTGTTTCCCCTTTTATTCACCAGCCACCAGTGCAGTCCTCCATGCAGCCCCTCGCTAGCAGGGCTGATTTTTAGGTTAATTTGTAGGTTCTAACACCACTTGGCAATATCCAAGCTGTCCATGCAGCTAATAGTCCACAGCTCTGTATGTCTCCTTTTTTGATGTTTTCATGCAGGTTCTTCTATTAGTTAGAGTTTAGTCCACTTTTGTAGCCTTCCTTTCAAAGCTCAGGGCTCCAGGATTATCTTCTGTATCTGTTGTTAATTGGTTCTTCTTTTTTTTTGTTGAACAGGGTCTATGTAGTTTGTCTGCCTGTTCCGGCATCTTACCAGACAGTATACATACACTCTTAGCTTCTTTGCCTCTTTTCTTTTTTCCTATATGTGCTAGGAATATCATTTGTGCATTGTTGGGATTATAGTATACTCATTCCTCACTTATTGACATGGTTGGGCTCCAAAGGCCACGTAATTATATAAAAATTGATGTTACAGAGAAATGGCAGATAATCATGTTAGATCACAAAATGGAAGATGACTGTATCATTCCAAAACTGTCAAATTACATCATTCCCTAACTGTCAAATTACATCATTACAGAATTGCCAAACCACTGAGAATCATGGCCCAGCTAAGTTGACACATAACCTTAACCATCACAGCAAGCATTAGTCTTGCCTTACATTCATTACTGCCAGACATACATTGTTAATGTGCAAAATAGTTGGTTAAGAGATTTTTTTTTTACTGTTTTTGTAAATGCAAAATGTGGGATAATGAGATAGTCAATAAGTGGGGTAGGTGTATTCACTTTCTATTTTGTAACCATGATCCCATTTGTATAAAACTTAGTCCTACACTCAATGGGTTCACTTTTCATTCTAAAACATTTACTCTGTTTTATATTACTTGAATGAAAATTTCGTTGGATATAAAGTTTTTTGGACCACAATTCTTTCCTTGAGGATTTTGAGTGTTGTCTTCTAGTGGCTTCTTTCCTTTTTAAAATGGCAACATATTTTTCTGATGACTTCATTTGCTATTTGTGTTTTCTTTTTTCTTTCTTCCTCTTACAGTATCTTTATATAGATCCTGCATCGGTTCCTTTTTTTTTTATTATTATTATTTCTTACCATGTAACAAAGTGACCCTTCCTGGCCCTGGTGTTTGTAGGAGGTTAATTGGCAGAGAGACTAGAATCTTGTTCTAGGCTAGCAGCACTACAACATGGTTCACAGTGATGTCCCTTATAACATAAACTCAGTTGTGGGATTGAGTTCCATTAGCCTTAATTTCTCTGAAATTTGTAGCTGCAGATTTGTTCATAATGATTTTTTTTTTTTTGCTTTCCACTCTACCTCACTAACTTCCATCTAATGTCTTTCTGGGTTATTACTTATTCAGTCCTTCCTCTTCTGATGTTTCTAGGTTCTGTTCAGTTCTAGGAATGCTTTCACTGATAGTCCATGTACCCTGGTCCCATTCTATCAAAGAAATGCTTTTGTTTGTTTGTTTCCTTTCAGGGCATGTCACTAACTTTGAAGAACTCTGCTGTACCAGCTTTATAGCCACAGAAGATCTCTTGATATCTTCCTACATTTCTGTTTGGCCTTGACTAGCTTTGGCACTCTCACTTCATATGTTATGAGTAGGGGTTGGAGATCCCTCTTAGCTTCATCAAAGATGCAGTTACATTTCTTTTTCTCATTCTTTTGGTTTGATATTTTCTGAGAGGAGAAAAGAGCAGTATGGTCTCTTGATTAAAATTTATACTGTTATGCATTTTATTTATGTGTTTTTCTTATTCTAAGGTCGATCTTAGGTTGTGAAAAATTGCTAATAATTTGATCTTGTAAAAATGATTTTTCTTTCTTTCTTTTCTTAATAAAAGCAACTGAGGCATGAAAACCTGGTGAATCTGTTGGAAGTGTGTAAGAAAAGAAAACGATGGTATCTAGTCTTTGAATTTGTTGACCACACAATTCTTGATGACTTGGAACTGTTTCCAAATGGACTAGACTACCAAATAGTTAAAAAATATTTGTTTCAAATTATTAATGGAATCGGATTTTGTCACAGTCATAATGTAAGTATTTGTTTTAAATAATTATTTTTCCAGTCATTGACTTACAGATACCAGTCAATTTGTTTAATGAGACACTTATTTAAACTAAAGCTTGAACAGTAAAGCTGTTACTATAATATTGCCAGTGTCCACATGTCAAACATGTATTGCCCCCAATACATTTTATTATGAAAATTTTAAAACATACTGAAAAGTACTGCTCCCATGAAACGAGCATTCACATACCCACTACCTAGATTCTATACTTGTTAACATTTTGATTTATTTGCTTTTTCAGTATTTATCCATCTTCTTTAATTCATTTATTAATCTCTCATGTATTTGAAAATAAATTGCAGACATCATAGACTTTAACCCTAAATGCTTACACCATGCATATTATTAACTAGAGATTAATGTTTTATAGTGTTTTTTTTTTTTCAGGTAACATTTACTGAGTAAAATATACAACTTTATAATAATTTATTTTATTTTTGTTATTGTTTTTGAGAATGTACACCAATTCAACAGTTTTTCCATGTACAGTTCAGTAGCACTGAGTACATTCTTCAGGTTGTACAACCATTCTCACCCTCCTTTTCTGAATTGTTTCTTCCTCATTAAAATAAACTCACCGCAGCCTAAGGTTTCTATCTAATCTTTCAAATTGCTGTTTTCTCAATTTGATCTGTCTCAAGGCAGACATTCTTTACTAGTTAAGCTAAACTACTGTGGTTTCAAGAAGACATTGGGGGATATTTTTGGTTTAAAGATCATCTCAGGACAAGAAATGCACAAATTTTAAATGATGAGTTTTGACAAATGCATTTACCCAAATGTCCATGTATTTGTTAGGTCAGATCCTCTTGTCTAATTATGCAGTATGAAAGCATGAAAATCTCTGCCTTTACCTCATGGTCTATCAAAATAATTTTACATCATTTGAATTTCAAATAAAAGCACTGCTAGGAAAAATGACACCTATAAAGTAATAACGTGAATGACTTAACACATCAGTTCTGCAAGTTTTACAAAATATTTTTAGAAACATTTTTTGGATGGTTATAAAAGTAATATATGCAAATAGTAGAAAATTTGAAAACTACAGATAATCATGAAAAAGAATAAAAAATCCACATGACTACCACCTGAACATTTGATACATATCTTTTATAGTTTTTTAAAACTATTTACTATTTTATTTTTTCACTCTATTACATAATTTTATTACATACCAAAAACCAAACCCACTGCCAGTGAGTCAGATCTGACTCATAGCAACCCCTCCTTGGGTTTCCAAGGTGGTATCACCACGCAAGTAGATTGCCCAACCTTCCTTCCAAGGAGTGGCTGGTGGGTTTGAATGGCCAGCCTTCAGGTTAGCAGCCAAATGCCTTAGGCACTACGCCACCAGAGCTCCCACAGTATATGTAGATAATATATGGAAAATTGCTTAGTAGAGGTAGATATATAGTTTTTGCTTGGGGAAACACTATCTTGTCTTCCTTTCCAAACATAGCCTCCTGTCAAATGTGGAATGATCCAGGATCATAAAATTGGATATTGACAAATTTAATGTTAAGTTCATATCTGTCTCTTTGGGCCAATCACAGTAACCAACTCAGGATACTGAATGCCAATTTAGTAAGTTAGAAAGATAATTAATACAGGGATAGAATACATGAAGTTCATGTAGACCAGTACATGTAATCTCTGTAATATATGGGTAAGTATAATAATAATGCTGGGTGGGCAGGGAGTCAGACTAATACGAGATGTTAGTGAATCAGATGTTTAATGGCATCAATCTGAGAGGGACAGATGCGTCCTTCTCGTAACAAAGTTGTTATTTTGCCAAGGGCCCTTAATACGTGAAGTTAGGTGGCTGAACTCACCAATATTCATTTCCACACTAGGGTAGACTTGCCTATAGAACCGTATACTGTACTCCTGCCAAAAAACAAAACAAAACAAAATCGTCATCTCTCTCCTTTTTGGAGATTGTTTGAATGAACCCTGCCTGCATTTGCCTATGAGTCCCTCTGTTTCTTCTGTTTTTTGCCTCATGCTTTGATGATTAATCAATCCACATTTAATAACACATTCTGCTTTAGATACATTAAAACATTTAGGCAGTTTAGAGTCAAGTGTTGCTGACGTGGATGCCATTCTGTCTTTTTAAGGCAGAGGATTTTGATATTCATTGGTTCCATCCACAAGCTTCACAGGGCTCATGTATTTCTTTAAGCTGTGTAAAATGTGAATTTTTAAGGAAGAGAACTAATCTTTCTCTAATTTATGATCACTTACCCTAAAGAAGCTCTAGTGTTACTTGACAGTCATACTACTCTTTCCTAGTCCATTTATACTTAAGCTCTTCTAGATTATGGTTTCACCTCTTCCCTCTCCTAAAACCTCTAATACTTCTTCTCCAGTCTTCACTCTTAGCTCCCTGTTAAAGGGCTATAATGATAGCACCTAACTTATATGGATATTGTGAGGATAAAATAAGGTAAAACATGGAAACACTTAGAATAGTGCCTGACACATAGTAAGTACTTAAGTGTTAGCTATCATTACCATTATTAATAAAAAAAATTACCCTAAGGTCTTGTTTTCTGAGTAATTAATGATTTTATTGCACAATGGTTAAGGACTCTGCTACTAACCAAGATGTCAGTGGTTCGAACCCACCAGCAACTTCACAGGAGAAAGGTTTGGCAATCTGCTTCTGTAAAGATTTACAGCCTTGGAAACCCTATAGGGCAATTCTACTCTGTCCTGTATGGTCACTATGAGTTGAAATAGACTAAACAGCAATGAGTTTGGTTTTGGTTCTATTTTTAAAAGTAAGAAGCCTTGGTAATGCAGTGGTTGAAGTGCTTGGCCACTAACCAAGAACATCAGTCATTTGAATGCACCATCTGGTTTGTGGGAGGGAGAAAAGACCTGGCATTCTGCTCCTGTAAAGATTACAGCCTAGGAAACCCTATGAGGCAGTTCTGTCCTGTCATATAGGGTCTCTAGAGTCAGAATTGACTTGACGGCATCCATCAGCAACAACAGTATTCTTAAGCCACTGCCGCTGTCATCGAGTTGATTCCAACTCACAGTGGTCTTTTAGGACAGAGTAGAACTGCCCCATAGAGTTTCCAAGGCTGCAAATCTTTATGGATGCAGACTGCCTCATCTTTCTCCTGTGGAGTGACTGGTGGGTTCAAACCACTGACCTTTTGGTTAACAGCTGAATGAGTTAACCATTACACCATCAAAATAATGATAATGATAATGATAATAATAATAATAATAAAATCAAACTCACTGCTATTGAGTTGATTCTGACTCATAGAGACTCCCCAGTGGGTTTCTGAGGCAGTTAAATCTTTACAGAAGTAGATCACCCTACCAGCCTTTTGGTTAGCAGTCAAATGCCTTAGCCATTGTGCCACCAGAGCATTCCTTAGTATGCCACCAGTAGACAGATAATTTTGGAGTGGGAGGGAATAAACACACACATACACACATATAAACCAAAAAGTAAAACTAAACTCATTGCCATCAAGTTGATTCCAAATCATGGCTACCTGTGTGTTAGAGTAGAACTGAGCTCCATTGGGTTTTCTTGGCTATAATCATTACAGAGCAGATCACCAGGATTTCTCCTGTGGTGCCATTGGTTGAGTTTGAACTGCTAACTTTTCTGCTAGTGGCTGAGCACAAACTATTTGCACAAACCCAGGCACCTAATACACAAATCCATACACAAAAGAACCAAACTTACTGCCATCGAGTCAGATCCAACTCATAGTGACCCCTCTGTGGGTTTCTGAGGTGGTATCTCTATGGAAGGAGCTCTGGTGGCATAGTGCCTAAGGCATTTGACTGCTAACCAGAAGGCTGGTGGTTCAAACCCACCAGCCACTCCTCAGAAGGAAGATTGGGAAATCAATTTCTGTAGTGATACTGCACGAGAAACCCAAGGAGGAGTTGCTATGAGTCGGATCCAACTCAATGGCAGTGAGTTTTTTTTATCTCTGTGGAAGTAGATTGCCTAGTCTTCCTTTTGAGGAGTGGCTGGTGAGTTTGAACTGTAAGCCTTCTGGTTAGCAGTCAAATGTCTTAGGCACTATGCCATCAGAGCTCCCAATCCATACACACAAAGATGAAATCTTCAACTTTAAGAAAATGAAAATATTTGTTTTAAAATGCATTATTCATTTGTATACGTATGTATGCATATATCTATAAGGAGCTCTGGTGGCATAGTGAGTAAGACATTTGGCTGCTAACCACTAGTCGGCAGTTTAAACCCACCAGCTGCTCTGCGTCAGGAAGGTGAGACAATCTACTTCCATAAAGATTTACAGCCTTGGAAACCCAATGAGGGTTGCTATGCATCAGAATCTACTTGATGGCAGTGGATTTGCTTTTTTTTGTTTGCATATATGTGTCTATAGGCAGTTAATGGTAATTAAAAAAAAAATGCATATTAACCCTTTTATGAACCAGGCTTAAAAACAAAACAAAACAAACTTACTGCCATCCAGTTGATTCTTATTCATAGTGACCCCCTTTGGGTTTCCAAGATGGTACATCTTTACAGATGTATATCACCCAGTCTTCCTTCAGTAGAGTGGCTGGTGGGTTTGAACCACTAGCCTTCTGGTTAGCAGTGAAATGCCTTAGACATTACGCCACCAGAGCTCCTTGTGAACCAGGCTTAGAGAACGTATTTTAAAACATATTTAAGGTTGCTGTCAATTTAAGTATGACCCAAATAGTATAGGGCATTATGAGGTATTTTAGACCTGTAAAAAAATCTTTTTTCACTGAAATGACTAAGTATAATCATTTATTTAGGTCATATCTAATATTAAAGACCCGTCACAGGGCCTACTTCTTTAATAAAACTTACCCTGGCATTCCAGTCTGTCTGCAGTGATAGCTTTCAGCAAAAAAAAATTCTACTCATATCATCTTGGTTATGCTTGGGTTCTACAGTTGTTAGCCTAAAGCCATAAAGTATTAAAGTAGGGAGATCATGGATTTCAACTCCCTCATTTGGGGGATGAGACGAGACCCCCAGAAAGGTGAAGTTGCCCATGGCTATACTAAAAACCTAAGACTTGAGGCCAGCTCTCCCAACTCCCAGTTCAGCTCTTTCTGATTTAGCACAGGTGATCTGGGACCTGTGTCCTCACCACTGACGTTTAGAGTTATGGTAGATTGACAGGATGTTGGTGCTCTGAAAGGTTTAAGATAAATATATATATATTTTTTTTAAATTTTCAAAAGAGTTTACTTATATTAGAGAATTAGGCCTAATAATTTGCCTTGCCTAGCTATAGAGTTTTTAACATTATTTCTATCTCAGTGTCAGTTTCTTTCTTTTTCCATAGTCTCTCCTTTGGAAATCTTAACCATTGACTTTGCTTTTCCCTCTACATTTTGAGTTCCCTGATGAATGCTTCCACTTAGGTACTCTACAGTCTATCCCACATGCCATCTGGCTAAAACTGACCTATTAATTTTTTTCTTGAAAACTAACTTTTTCTAGACTTTTTAGTTTTTGGTAATAGAAACATCATTCTTTTAGATTCTCAAGTTTAAATAAAATTGGTATTGTTGTTAGGTGCCTTAGAGTCAATTCCAACTTATAGCAATGCCATGAAACAGAGTAGACCTATCCTGCAGAGATTTCTTGGCTGTAATCTTGATGGAAGCCAGGTGTTTCTTCCGTGAAGCCACTGGGTAGGTTTGAACCTCCATCCTTTTGGTTAGCAGCCGAGTGCTTAACCAGGGTTCCTTTCATATAAAATGCCTGAACTTATTTCCTAAATTCTGTTGATTCTTGGTTTACCATATTTCTAGGCTGCAACCCTTCCTTTCCATTCTTCTGAGACTTACCCTATTTTATGTCTCTATCGCCTTATAGTGGTGTCACTGTTCTTCTCCCCACTTCCAGTTTCTCTCACTGATTTAGCTTATTCATGGCCAACATTTTCTTTAGACACTATATTGATCATGGCACTTGCATGGGTTCTGATGGCTTTAACACAAGCTCAGATTTCCCAGGCTGGCAGGTGAGACTGCCCCTTTTCCCTAGCACACAATTTCTACTAAAAAAGAAAAAAAAAAAAATCCCAAAGACTTCTGATCTATTCTCGTCTTCACTCTTTTAGTCTCCTTGTTACATTCACTTGGATTTCCCTTTTGTTTCTACATTTATCCATTCATACCTAGTATTAAAGCCCATACCTGTCTTAGAGCCCACTCCTTTTATAATAATTTTCCTTGACCACCTCTAGTCTTTAGTGATAGCTTTACTCTCTCAACCTTGAGCTCAGACATTAACCAAATAATTAATTTGGTAATTAATAATATATAGTCTTTCATCTACTATATTCAAGTTTTTAAATAAAATTTCAAGCATGTATTTTTTTGTTGCCCAAGTTAGTCTCAGGCTATTTAAAACTAGGAACAATTTTATGTGTTTCTGTTTGTGTTCTTTATAGGAACAAAAGTAATGCAGATACTAAAAAAATACCCAGCAGACGCTCAAAAAGTAATTGTTCTTGCTTAATTTGATGTGCCAACATATGTCAGACTCTGGTTTTTGTCTTAGATCATACACAGAGATATAAAGCCAGAAAATATATTAGTCTCCCAGTGTGGTGTTGTCAAGTTATGTGATTTTGGATTTGCCCGGACATTGGCAGCTCCTGGGGAGGTTTATACTGATTATGTGGCAACCCGATGGTACAGAGCTCCAGAACTATTGGTTGGTGATGTCAAGTATGGCAAGTAAGAGATTGGTAACTTCCTTTTCTTGATAAAATGTAATATGTTTTTAGTATAACAAATGATCCCTCTTAAATGCTGAAAGGAAGACTTTAGTTGAGGGTACTCTATAAAGTGATTTGTATCATTTTTGGTGTTTCCCGTTTAAACATTCTTGGGAAGCCAATATGGGTAGGTATACTTATTCTAAAGGTGGAAAAACCAAAGTGGTCTGTTTTTTAGTGGGTAGGAAATCTATATACTTATCACTAGTAAAGAGAGACAAATGGATAAGAGATAAATGGAGCAAATAATAAATGAGTAAGAGATAAATGGAGAAAAATCCTTGAGGTTGTCAAGGATTTCATTTTACTTGAATGTACAATCAATGCTCATGGAAGCAGCAGTTGAGAAATTAAATGACATATTGCATTGGGCAAATCTGCTAAAAAAAAACTTTTTTAAAGTGTTAAAAATCAAAGATGTCACTTTGAGGACAAAGGTGGGCCTGACCCAAGCCAATGTATTTTCACTTATGTTATATGTATTCATCTGTTGCAAAAGACCTCTTTGAAGTGCTGGAGAGCAAAGATATCTCCTGAAGACTAAGATGTGCCTAACTGAAGCCATGGTATTTTCAGTCACCTCCTATGCATGTGAGAGCTGGACAGTGAAGAAGGAAGACTGAAGAAGAGTTGATGCTTTTGAGTTGTGTTGGCAAAGAATGTTGAAAGTATCGTGGACTGCTGAAAGAACTAACAAATCTGTCCTGGAAGAAGTGCAGCCAGAATGCTCCTTGGCAAGAATGGCCAGACTTCGTCTCACCTACTTTGGTCATGTTAACAGAATGGACCATTCTCTGGAGAAGGATGTCATGCTTGGTAAAGTGGAGGGTCCATGAAAGAGGGGAAAGCCCTGAACAAGATGGATTGACATGGTGGCTGCAGTGATGGGCTCAGGTGTAGTAGGGACCATGAGGCTGGCACAGGACCAGACAGTGCTGTGTTGTGTTGTACGTAAGGTTGCTTTGAGTTGGAGGTGATTCAATGGCACCAGAAGCTGGACAATGAACAAGGAAAAGTGAAGAAGCATTGATGCTTTAAATTATGGACTGCCAGAAGAATGAACAAATCTATCCTGAGGGAGTACAGCAAGAATCCTCTAGAAGGGAGGATGGCAAGACTGTCTCATGTACTTTGGACATGTTATTAGTAGGGACCAGTCCCTGGAAAAGGACATCATGCTTGGTAAAGTAGAGTTACAGTGAAAAAGAAGAAGACTCTCAATGGGATGGATTATGCAGTGGCTCCAACTATGGTCATACATGGTGAAGATTGGGAAAACGGCACAGGACTAGGCAGTGTTTTGTTTTGTTGTACATAGGGTTGCTGTGAGTGAGAACCAACTTGATGACACCCAACAACAACAAAGAGAGGTTAACATTGGTTCAATAAGTCTGACATTTTTGGAATGAGACAGGGTGAAGTTGGCAAGGGTGGGGATAGAAACATAATTGAGTAAAAAGTAGTTTTTAAAACATAAATTGTTTTAAATAATATTTTAAATAATTTAAATAATTGTTTTTAATAATAGTTTTTTAAAAATTTATGGCCTATATTCATGAATATACACAGGTTTGATAAAGAATATTTCTACATATGTATTTATGTGTGCTGCAAATATATCCACGAATATAGTAGAGCATACAGGGAACAAAGTTATGAAAACTTCTGAGCCATAGCCAAACATCTTGAGGGAATGAGTTGCTGGGCTGGGGGCTCAGAACCATAGGCTTGAGGGCTATCAAAGCCAATTAGCATAACATAGTCCACAAAAACAATGTTTTACATCCTACTTTAGTGAGCAACAACTGGGGTCTTAAAACCTTGTGAGTAGCCATCTAAGAAGCCACTGCTGGTTTCTCCCCATCTGGAGCAAAGAAGAGTAAAGAAAATAAAAGACATATGAAAACAATTTGTCCAAAGGACTAGTGGACCGCGTGAACCCCAGCCTTCATGAACCTGAGACCAGAAGAACTACATGGTACCCCACTACTACTGGCTACCACTCTGAAAGGGAACACGGTCCTGGAAAGAGTGGGAGAGAAATATAGAACAAGTCTCAAAACCATAAAAAAGACCAGGTTTACTGGTCTGTTGGAGACTGGTAGAACCCCCCGAGACTATGGCCGTTATACACCCGATAAGCCTGCAACTGAACTCATTCCTCAGCCAAACAATAGACAGGCCAGAAGGCTGGTGGTTCAAATCCACCAGCCACTCCTCGGAAGAAAGACTGGGCAATCTACTTCTATAGAGATACCGCCTCTCAAACCCAAGGAGGGGTTGCTATGAGTAGGAATCGACTCGACAGCAGTGAGTTTTTTTTAATAAGGTGAACAATAACACCAAGACGGTAGGTAATCCCTAGAACAATTAAACATATGAGAAGAAAAGGTCAACATTTGTCTAGGAATGAAAGTCAGAAGGCAGGAAGGGATAGGAAAGAAGGATGAATAGAAGTGTTAAAATACAGGAAGGAAGTGGGAAGAAAGCTGTTACATTGTGGGGATTATAATTAATGCCATGAATCAAAGTGTGTATGAATTGTGGAATGGAAAACCAATTTGCTTTTAAACTTTTACTGAAATCATACAAAAAGTTAAACAAAACAAGACAAAAAAATCTGTCACCTCTATGTAAGTGAATTCTCCAGAAAGGCTGGTAACTTTTACTGCTTTTGATAGAAATTTTTCTAAAATATTCCTATAATTTCTCTGTTTTTAGGTACACGAAACATTATTTAATAATTTCTTGATTACTGTTTGTTCTGATTTTTTACTATCATGCTGTAATTTTTGTAACATTTTTGAATTGAACAATGCCCTTAGAAATTTCAAAATATGACTCTAGCATGTTCTTCGAGTCTTGTGACTGATTTTTGTGGTAGTTTTCCTGTTTACTCCCTTACATCACCAGTAATCACCTCCTTTTTCTGGTATGCTTTTTTTCTTTTTTAGCATACCATAAGCTAGACTGATCAACCTTGTTAGATTTATGTTTAAACAAAGAATGAATAGGCTCTGAATGAACGCTTAAGAGGTTTATTTCTAGAATGAAATACACACGACAGCTATTTTGGCTCTTCAGATGCCTTTTCCCTCCTGTGTCACATGACTGAAGGTTCTGGAAATTTGACTTATATAAAATTGGGAGTTAGTACTTTAGTTTGTAGTGAGATGCATTTTTTATGGGTAATTTAAGACATACCACTACTATTCTTAATACCAAGAATACCAAATAGTAATGTGCAAAACAGATTTAGTCACAATGATTTTCATTAAGCAAACAAATTGGAATTTTAATGATAACTTTACACCATGTTATTTTTCTTTCAGGGCTGTTGATGTGTGGGCCATTGGTTGTCTGGTAACTGAAATGCTTGTGGGGGAACCCCTGTTTCCTGGAGATTCTGATATTGATCAGCTATATCATATTATGACATGTTTAGGTAAGATTATACACATGTACTTTAAATTTTAAAGGGGTTTCCCTGTGGTTTTGTTGTTTGGTTTTGTATGTGTGTGTTGACTTCAGAAACTGTTGTGATATTAAAGATTGTATATTTTTCAAGTGGAGGCAGGGAGCAAATAGGAAAATTTCAGCAGTATACATATATTTTCTCAGTCTGGCTTTGGTCTGTCTAACACTTGGTCTAAATCATGCTCGCACCTCCCACATTTGCCCCCAAGAGAAAAGAAGAGAGTAGAGATTTTACATTTCTCCACATTTTAACACTGAGTAAATCAGATAATATAAATGATCATTTATTATCTTTCAGTCAACAAGCATTTGGTGTAATATAAGTATTGACCTCATCCTGCCCATCAAGACATAAGATATATACAGACTTCCAAGGTAGTTATTCTTGCCTCAGATTTGACTTTTATTGTTAGTGCTTTGGACAAAATTTCAAAGCTAGATCATCAAAGTCTTCTTACATTTTATCAACTTCATGTTGGGAGATAGAAATACATTTTCATGTTGGAAAATGGGAATAATGGGAAAATATTTGGGAGTAATTTAAGCAAGTATTGTTAACTATTTGATTTTAAGTTTCCAAGTTAGAAATGCAATAATAATGCAATGTTTTCTTACAGTTGAATTATCATATGTATTTTCTGCCCAATTAGTTATTAAAGTGAGGAAAAAGATAAAGTGTTCAAATCTGACCTTAGGTAAAGGTACAAAATCAGTTGACCAAAAATTAAATGGAAATGATTTATCTAGATTAGACTTTGACCATATGGCTTTTAATGTTTTCTTTGTTTTGGTCAGCACTTTGTTTTGTTGTTAGGAATGAAGTACTGGTACTTGTGTTGTCATTTTCCTATGCTCCTCTTACTTTTTCAGTTCTATTTTATAGTGGCATACGAACTTTTCCAAAAGGAGCCCTGGTGGCTCAGTGGGTAAGTGCTTCACTGCTAACTGAAAGGTCTGCAACTTGAACCCACCAGCTGCTCTGTGAGAGAAAGATATAGCAGTCTTCTTCTGTGAAGATTATAGCCTTGGAAACCCTATGGGGCCATTCTAATCTGTCACTATGAGTAGAATTATCTCAATGGCAATGAGGTCTTGGATTGGTGAACTTTTTGAAATGAGTATGTTGAGGTAGGAACATTAATTTCTTTGAACTGACTTATGTCCATGTGCCATCACAGTGAAAGCACTATCTTTGGTTGATTTTAATATGCCGAGAGAGTCCCAAACTCTGTAAGCATACTGTTCTACTATTTCCTCTATTCCCTACCATCTGTCTCTTCTTTGCCTTTTCTATCATGTTGTATAATGACAGAGATGCATTGTTTTCACTTTCAGGTAATTTAATTCCAAGACATCAGGAGCTATTTTATAAAAATCCTGTGTTTGCTGGAGTAAGGTTGCCTGAAATCCAGGAAACTGAACCTCTTGAAAAACGCTATCCCAAACTCTCTGAAGTAGTGATAGATTTAGCAAAGGTAATTGTATTTTACCTTTTCACTTTCTGAAAGGGGACTGACATATGGAGACTTGGTTTTCCTTTCATTTTTGTTGTTTAGTTGATCTTTAAAGTCAAAAATTTCCTGTGGAGATTTTAATTTTTGCACATTAAGAAAGAGTTGTACAGCTTGTGGTAGTTACGTTTGTGTGTCAACTTGGCTGGGCCTTGGTTGAGTGGCTGGGCAGCTGGTGGTAGTTATTCCCCATGATGAGACTGGCAATCAACTCCATGGTGGGATTTACCATAAGCAGCTGAGTAGCTAGCTGCCTTTAGGATGTGGTCTGCTTCCTGTATATAAGGAGAAGCCTTGGGAATGATCTCTAGCCTATGGCACACTTGGACCCTGCATGTAGCTGTGTCGTTGCTCAGCAGCCTCCTATTCTCTGCTGACCATGGGACTTACAGTAGACTTAAGTTAATGGCTTGCCAAGTGGTTTGGTAACATTGGGACTGTGCCTTTTCACTTGTCAACCTTGGGCTTGACAGCCTCAGCAGCCAGCAGCTGTCTGAGGGAAGAAAAGCCTCTAGCTTCAGTGGGCTGGGAGCTGGAGGCAGAGCTGAAACCCAAGGCTGAGGGGCTTTCACCCAGCTCCTAGAGCCTGGCACTTTGAACTTGGACTTAAAGCCTCCAAACTGTAAGAGAATAAACTCCTATTTGTTAAGACCATCCCATTTGTGGTATATTCTTGTCAGAGTGGCACTAGATAACCAGAACAACCTGTGAAAAGTTGAATTGGCAAAAGTTATGTGATAGATATAATTACAACCACGACAAAGAAGGAGTAGCTACAGAGGCTGCTTATATACAACCAACACCTCATGGGCTTTGGTTCCTTGGTTTGGAGGTTTGTTATTGTTTTTATGTGCCATGGAGTCGGATCTGCTTCACAGCGACCCCTCCTTGGGTTTCTGAGGTGGTATCACTACAGAAGTAGATTGCCCAACCTTCCTTCTGAGGAGTGGTTGGTGGGTTTGAACTGCCAGCCTTCTGGTTAGCAGTCAAGTGCCTTAGGCATTATGCTACCAGAGGGACATTGCAGTTAATTGGCCTAATAGCATATGATGTACTTAGTGCTTCTTTTTTACCTCCAGTTTGTTGCATAGTGCCTGGGATTTTAAAAGCTTGCAAGTGGCCATGCAAGGCACAACAATTGGTCTCTATTCACTTGGAGCAACAGAGAAATAAGGAGAGTCAGGAATAGGAGGAGAAGGATATGGAATATGTGGCTAATTGCCTCCATAAACAACTGCCTCTTTTGCCATGAGACCAGAATGCCTTCTACTATTACTAAATATTTTGGTCAAAGATTCCATAGAAGAATCTTGATCAAAAGGGGGAAATGGATAACAGAATTTCAAATTCCCATGGACTCTCGACTTTCTGGAGCCACAGAGAATGGATGAACCCCTGAAACTATTGCCCTGAGATAATCTTTAAACCTTAAACCAAAAATATCCCCTGACATCATCTTAAAACCAAATAATAGCTTATCTTAATAAAAAAGGTCTGCTTTGAGCATTATGCTCTTTTAAGAACTGTCTCTATGAGATCAAATTGACAACAGCAACTCAAAAGATTAGATAGGAACCTTGTTGTTGTTTGTTGTTAGGTGCTGTCAAGTAGGACCCGACTCATAGCAACTCCTCCTTGGTTTTCCGAGGCAGTATCACTACGGAAGTAGATTGTCCCATCTTTCTTCCGAGGAGTGGCTGGTGGGTTTGAACCCCCAACCTTCTGGTTAGCAGTCAAGTGCCTTAGGCACTATGCTACCAGAGCTCCTAGATAGGAACCTTAGGGCACAGTAAGTTTATGTTAATGAGGGAGGAACAACTCAGAAAAGGAGTGTGAGAATGGCTATATCACTCAAAGAATGTAATAAATGTCATTGAATTGTGCATGTAAAAACTGTTGAATTAGTGTATGTTGCTGTGAATATTGTCAACAACAGCAAAATAAATATAAATTAGAAAAAATAAGTGTTTAAATAATTGAGTGAGGGGGATGACTAGAGATAAAGGCCTGAAATTTTTACTTGTTTTAGAACTCATTACAAAAACATTTTGTGTTATCTAGCATGATTTAAGCATGAAAACATCCTCTCTATATTTTCAATGTTTAACAATTAAGATTCAATCCATGTATAAATGGAAAAGAGAAGAAAAATTGGAAAGAAAATGAGAAAGGTAAAGAGTTAGGAAAATATTAAACTGTGGGACAAATTGTTAAAGAAATATATTCCTGTTTTTTTTTTTTTTAAATAATCTTATAGCAGATACAAATATTTTTTGTTATGGTTAAATCTTTATGATCTGTCTGTAAAGAGGTATAAAGGGAATAAAGGTAAAACTATTGTCTGATTTTTACCCTTACAGTAGAATCATACAACTTTTTATGCATTTTATTATGGGAAATTTGAAACATGGAAAAGAAAGCAGAAAGAGTAGTAGTGTAATGAACTCTCATGTTCTAATCAAGTCAACAGTTATCAACCTTTTATCAGTCTTGTTTCTTCTATCCACACCTCCCCTCTACTTTTGGGGAGGAGTATTTTGAAGCAAATCTCAGACATTTGATCATTTCACTTATAGACACTTTAATTATTCATAGAACTTTTTTGGTTCATTTAAATCTATATATTGAGTCCCTTCTATTTTAACTGACATTGAGAGGTTTCAATGCATCAGAACAAGACCTTGCATTAAAATGAAATCATCTATGTAAAGCATCTGTTGTTGTTGTTATATGTCGTTGAGTTGGACCCGACTCATAGCAACCCCTCCTTGGGTTGCTGAGGCAGTATCACTACGGAAGTAGATTGCCCAACCTTCCTTCCGAGGAGTGGCTGTGGATTTGAACTGCCAGCCTTCTGGTTAGCAGTCAAGTGTCTTAGGCACTATGCTACCATCTAGCACAGTAATAACCACAGATTAGGTACTTTTCCCTCCATTCTGTAAGGATTTTACATTTTTAAAATTCACAGTCATTCTTTAATATAAAATACCAATTTTCAAAGTTTCATTGATTGTCTCACTTTCTTTTTAAGTTTGAATTGTCATCCAAATGAAATCTATAAAGTACAATTGGTTGATAATGTCTCTTAAGACCCTGCTTTTAATTTATGTTGATATGTCGCTTAAGACTCTGCTTTTAATTTATAATATCCTCATCTCTTTCATCTTGCTATTTATTTGTTGAAGAAATTAGGTTGTTTGTACCTTAGAATTTCCCCACAGTGTAGCTTAACATGTTCCTCTGAGTCTTACATTTCTTTTAAACTCATAATTGAGCTTAGGAGCTCTGCTGGTGTAGTGCCTAAGGCATTTGACTGCTAACCAGAAAGTTGGCGGTTCAAACCCACCAGGCTTTCCTTAGAAAGAAGGTTGCGCAATCTACTTCCATAGTGATACTTCCTCGAAAACCCAAGGAGGGATTGCTATGAGTCAGATCCAACTCAACGGCAGTGGGATTTGGGTGGGTTAGTTGAGCTAGAGCTTTGTCAGAATCAGGTTTGATTTTTTTGCAAGACTACTTGAAGAATACAGTCTGCAGTATGGATTACATCTCAATATAAAGAAAACAAAAATCCTCACAACTGGACCAATGAGCAGCATCACAATAAATGGAGAGAAGATTGAGGTTGTCAAGGAATTCACGTTGCTTAGTTCTACAATCGATGCCAACGGAAGCAGCAGTCAGGGCATTAGACGATGTGTAGCATTGGGAAAGTCAACTGCGAAGGAACTGTTTCAAGTGCTGAGGAGCAAGGATATCTCCTTGAGGACTAAGGTGCGCCTGACACAAGCCATGATATTTCCAATCGCCTCGTATGCATGTGAGAGCTGGACAATGAATAAGGAAGACCGAAGAAGAGTTGATGCTTTTGAGTTGTGGTGCTGGTGAAGAATGCTGAAAGTACCGTGGACTGCTAAAAGAACTAACAGATCTGTCCTGGAGGAAGTGCAGCCAGAATGCTCCTTGGAAGCAAGAATGGCCAGACTTTGTCTCACCTATTTTGGTCATGTTGTCAGAAGGGACCATTCCCTGGAGAAGGATGTCATGCTTGGTAGGGTGGAGGGTCGACGAAAGAGGGGGAGGCCTTCAATGAGATGGATTGACATGGTGGCTGCGACGATGGGCTCAAGTATAGCAGGTATTGTGGGGCTGGCGCGGGATCGGGCAGTGTTTCGTTCTGCTGTGCATGGGGTCGCTATGAGTCGGAAACAACTCGACGGCACTTAACAACAACAACAACACTTCATAGGAGGTCTGTGTATTTCCATCTAGGTAGTATTTGTGGTGTTAGCAGCCATTGATAGCTATCTTCTAAATCTGTGTTCATTTGGTTACTTCATGCTGCTATAACAGAAAAATACCATAAATGGAATGGCTTTAACAAACAGGAGTTTATTCTCTTACAATTTTGGAGGTTAGAAGTCCAAGTTCAAAGTGCCAGCTCTCACGGCTGGGTGAAAGCCCCTCAACCTTGGGCTTCAGCTCTGCTTCTTACTCCCAGGCCACTGAAGCCAGTGGCATCTCTTCACTCAGGCAGCTGCTGGCTGTTGAGGCTAACAAGCCCAAGGTTGACAAATAAAATGGCACATTCCAGTATTACCAAACTACACAGGAGGCCATTGATTCAAGTCCATTAACAGTCCCAAAATTAGCAGACAGCATGGCAGGCTGCTGAACAAAGACTCGACTACATGTAGGATTCAAGCGTGTCAAAAGCTGGAGACCTTCCTTAAAGTTGCTTCTTATGTGCTGGAAGCAGACCACATCCCTAAAGCAGCTACTCAGCTGCTCCTGTAGATTCCACTCAGCTGCTCCAGTAGATTACCAATCTCACTATGAGGAATAACTACGTCCAGCTGCCCAACCACTCAACCAGGCCCTGCCAAGTTGACACATAACCTTAACTACTACATGTGCTTTATTTTTTTCTTTTTTAGATAATATTTTATTGTATGTTCTCTATTCTTTATAATTGATTATAGAAGTTTAAAATTAATTAAATATGAAGTAGAATATTCTAAAAACTGTAGGCAGTTTTTCTTTTCTATGAACTGTATGTTTTCCTTGGTCTTTCAGAAATGCTTACATATTGACCCAGATAAAAGACCCTTTTGTACTGAGCTCCTGCACCATGATTTCTTTCAAGTGGATGGATTTGCTGAGAGGTATAGTACTGATCCATGTTTTCCAGGCTATAGCAATTTAGGATTAAAATAAGGATGCCATGACAGTAACAAACAGTATTTCTCTTATTTGTGTTCTCCTCTACCTTTGCAGGATTTCAAATATTTACCATCTTACCTTCATTCAGCCTAAGCAATAATGCAAGTCTTGGGGATGAGCCCCTACATTCACTAAATTTGTGCTCTTGGTTTTCATGAAGCAGTCACTTCTTGCTTTTCTTTCTGTCTCACTATGGTGACATCTACCACTCTGGTCACTAATTGTTGCTACCCTGGTGTAATGCTATCATCTTGGGTGCTGATGCTATTGTAAAGATGCCATCTTCTGTTGCTGACAAACCTATACCATGTCAAGTCCTATGATACAGCTGACACTGCTGATATGCTGGAGACCGTGATGTGCCAGACTTGTGGGTACCAGAGCTGCTAACACAGTCTCTTATGCTGTTCTAGCTGCTGGCTATGAGTGCATCTGCCAGCTTGCATTTCCAATGTCTTAAGGAAATGTAAAAGACTTCTTCAGTTAACTTGCTATCTTTCTATATCCACCCCTTTGCCTAGGACCTAGGCATAAAACCAAGGCCAGAAACTGGAATAGATTAGGTGAAAGACATTGTGTTATATCTAGACCACCTCTCTACTCTAGGTTTAGATTATTTTCTCTAAATCAAACTTGTTTGTTGTGAATCTGTCTTCTTGGAGGCTGAGTTAATTCTCAAAAGGCTCCATAGAAGCTTAGAAAAATAGGATCTTTGGGCTACCCACCAGCTCTATAGTTCAATGATTTTTAAATAAAAGTAACTCTTTAAAGGATTCTTTATGAAGAAAAAGAGAATGCTTCTCTGGAGGTATTTAAAAAACAAAATTTAAAGAAATATCTTACCATTTAAAAAGGTATTTCAATTGCAAATTATTACCAAAATGAGACACATTTAAAAGTGATAAAATTATAGCCAAAATAAAAGCACGAAACAAAAATAAAATGATTTTACAGGGCTCATCTCTGCAGTGGAAAGTCAGAGGTGGTTAATTATTTGAAAGAAAATAACCTCACCATATCTGAATCACAGAAGTGAAACCCTTGCCTGCTATAATAGTACTCTGACAGTGTTTGATATGATTGAAAGCTGTATCGTGTTGTTTTTATCTTTTATCAATGTATCAGCATCTATAATAGGCATCTGGCAGTAGAAGGTGCTCAAAAAATAATTATCCTGCTCTCTCCTCTCAGGCAAAGAACTTTGCTATGTAAATTACTCTTACCTTATATGATTTGTGAAATTAGAATTGATGCTGATTGATGAGTTGAAAGAAATATCAATAAATATTATCTGGAAGTTTCTAGTGTTAATGCTGTTGTATTTCAACTTCTATTTTCACATCAAAATAATATAATTTTAATTAATCACCATTGTTTCTAAGCGTTGTGGACAATGTTTGCCTGAAGTATTGTGTTCAGGATGCTGATGTCAAGATGAATTAAAAATGTAAAAGTTTTATTGGGAAAAATGTGAACAATAAGGAAAGTGGGAGTAGTAAGGACAAGGATGCAGGTATGACATTTGTGAAAAGAAGAGAGAGGGACTCAGTTGTTTAGAAGAAGTTGTGGCCAGGCTGATGGCCCGCTCTAGAGCAAAGATTGCCCCTTACTGGAGTTCCCCAGTGGACAGGATTGGCCTGAATTCAGTACTGCCAATGTGCTCAGATGATGGCTTGCAGCAACTTGGGGAGAACATGACCTTAACATGCACACTGTGATGGAACCTGAAGGTACAATATTTGTAAGTTGTCAGTACATTCTTTGTAGAAACTTCTCTATTGAAGGGTGATCTGACTGGCACACCTCCATGGCAGTCACAAGTTCCTTCTGCATCTGTTTTTTGGACCCTTTCCTTCTTTTTAGCATCTCCTTGGGGACTGGTATTCCCATTCTAATGCCTCCTGAGAAGAAAGGTCTGACAAAACTAGTTCACAATAAGGTATTTGTACCCTTTGGGAGTATTTGCACTTTTAAAAAGTTGCCTGTAAAAATAATAGGTTAACACAAAGAAATTAATTGTCAATGGAAAAATTGTAAGCACTTATAGCAGACTGGGAGGGGAGATAACTGAGTTTGGCAGAATGACTTGTCATAGGCTGTCCCTCCTATATAAATGGCTTCTTCTGAGTATCATTGAATGGGTGGGGACAGTTGCTTGGTGGCAGTAGTTACAGTCCCATGCAGCATCCTGTCCAGTTGACATTATCTCAGAATGCATACCACTCAAAAGCATCCCTGGATAAACTATAGAAGCAAGTGGGAAGTACAACTTAGTGAAACTAAAGAAATTAAATTGAAAGATATATCAGTGAATATTATCTGGAAGTTTCTAATGTTAATACCGTTTTATTTCATCTTGTATTTTAACATCAAAATAATACAGTTGTAATTAATCACTGACTGTGTATATAGCTAAGGCATTTGGCTGCTAACCAGAAAGTCAGTGGTTCACTCTTCTTTGCTCTGGATGGGGACAGACTCTGGACTGGGAGAGACCAATAGTTGCACCTTAGATGGCCACTCACATGCTTTTAAGACCCTAGTTGCTACTCACCAAAATAAGATGTAGAACATTGTCTTTGTGGACTATGTTATGCCAGTTGACCTTGGTGTGCTCCAAGACTATGGTCCTGAGCCCAATCAGGGACATTCTTAAATGAAAGTGTCTTTTTTTTTTTTTTAAACTGAGAGTGTGTGGCTGTGAAGAATGACAGCTAGTATAGTTATGCCATTGCTTTGATTCATAGCAAGGTGCCAGCAATTTTACCCACCATCAGTGCAAATGTTAACATGGTGAAAAAGACAAATAGATAGATTTGACCTTATAAACCCCCTGAAAGGTTCTCAGGGACCATCCTTTGAGAACTGCTGAGTTTAACAAACTGAATTTTAAAAATAAATACTTTGAAAATAAAATTTTTCTAGATATTATTTGTCTCATACAATTTAATTTCATTGACAAATACATTTTTATGTAGGTTTTCTCAGGAACTACATTTGAAAGTGCAGAAAGATGTGAAAAATATTTCTTTATCTAAAAAATCCCAGAACAGGAAGAAGGAAAAGGAAAGAGATGATTCCTTAGGTGAAGTAAGAAAAACACTTGTGGTACAGGTAAATGTCCATGTATTATTATTTTCATTTAAGTTACCTAATTATCCTTTAATTTTTTGAGGATTTTTTTTTTACATTTTCTGAGTGATGAGCAAGTTGTTAACCCTTAACTTAGTTGTAAAAAAAAAAAGTATCTTTGCTAGCAATTGCATATTTTTTATTGTAACATAAAATGTACTGAGTGTCTACTATATCCCAGACTCTATGCAATAGCATTTTTCAGGAAATCACACTCATCTAGGGATAGCTATATATGTGCATGTGTGTGCACATATACATACATGGACATGGACACAAACAAATATAATACATGCACTATTGTTTTCCTTAAGTAATATGAGAGAAAAATATTAATTTTAGGATTTTATATAGAGAATTTTTAAATTGAGATTTGTATATTTACTTTAAATTTACTTTTCCTGCTAAGTTTTCTAAAATCTGTTATTGATTAGAAAATTCAAATCTATAACTCATCAACTTCCATTTTCTCAAATAAACCAGAAGGAGAGAAAACATTCTCAGTTCTGTGTACCCTGACTAAATACATAAGAACAAGTGTGAACGTTCTTGATTGCTCTTTTATGTCCTTCCCCACCCCAGGAGAGAATATATATATATTAGAGATCAAATGAATTGTATTTGTGTTCTTTTTGTATTTTTACAATAACTGTCTGATCAAGGATATCAGGATTACTTTTAATCTAATAGGTAGACTTCAGAAAGCAGGAGTACAAAAAGGTAATACCTGGAATTCTGCTCTAGTTGACAGATGCTTTATAAGAAGAGGTGATTTTTTTTATTCTCTTTATATCATTAATGTTATTAACGTTTTTATTAATGGTCAGGATACCAATGCTGATTCCAAAATTAAGGATTCTAAAGTATTTAAAATAAGAGGGTCAAAAATTGATGGAGAAAAAATTGAAAAAGGCATTCGAGCTTCAAATGTCACCTGTCTCCGTGACAATGGAACGAGTCACATCAAAATAGTGCCTTCAACAAGCCTCAGAGACTGCACCAATGGCAGTATGGATCACACAAGGAATCCAGGCATGGCCATTCCTCCACTTACACATAATCTCTCTGCTGTGGCTTCTGATATTAATTCCGGAATGGGAACTATCCCAGGAATTCAGAGTTACAGGTATGAATTAGGAATATAAGACAAAAATACTCTGCATAAAGTGCACTGGCAAATTGCAAGGGTTTGTGAATTCAGCACACTGCCTTACTCTTGGGCTTCTGGATTCTATTAATTCACATCAGAATGCTGTTTCAAAAGATTTTCTGGCCTATGTAATGGAAATTATTAGTATTAGATAAAAAAGGAAAAGGATTCCCCTGAGTATGCTGAGAAATTGGGACAGTGTTGTTTTAAGATAGGGGAATCTACAGCTATTTTGTCTAATAATGTGAAGATGATCATAATAAAAGATATAACTGGTATTGAAGTTCTGCTGCATAGTGTGGCTATGGGTATTTAGAGGTACAAAGAAGTTCCTTTGGGCATTTTATTGAAATAGAGATAATTTGGTAAGAGTAGTCTCTGTGTGATACAAATAGCACTTGGCTGCTAACCGAAAAGGTTGGAGGCTTGAGTCTACCTAGAAGTGTCTTAGGAAGAAAGGCCTGGTGATCTACTTCCAAAAAATCAGTCCTTGCAAACCCTGTGGAACGCAGTTCTACTCTGACATATGTGGGGTCACCAAGAGCTGCAGTCGATTCAATGGCAACTGGTTTGATTTGGTGAGAGTTGGGGTTGGGGGGTGGGAGTCATGAGGGTAGTGGTAAAGGGCAGAGAGCTTCACCAGATCTGTGTGCACTGTGTAGCTGAGAACAGGCATTAAGTTCTAAGTTCTAAGTAAACTTCATGTCACTTGGTGATGTACCTTTTGTTTTGTGCTTGAAAATACAATCATTGCTGATTCTAACTTAATTTTTCTTTTCTTCACAGAGTGGATGAGAAAGCCAAGAAGTATTATATTCCATTAGTTAAACCAAGTAAACATTCTTCATCAGGCATTTTTAATATTAACGTGACCACATCAGTAAGTGAATTGTTCTCATTGGTAGGAAAACAAACATTAGTCTGTTCTGGACATCTATGACTATTATATTAAGATCTGAGATTTTATTTGGAGATATATTTAGTTATGCATATAATCATAGTCATAAGTATGAAAGTCTGAAAATTTAAATGTTTTATAAGCCTGAAAGTTTAAATATATTATTACAATGATAACTGTTTCATTTTTTTCCCAGTAATATAGTAAATTTCCTTAATCTAATGCTTGGTGATCAGTATTTTTTATAATGTAAATGAGAAGATAAATCATCTTACTTTCTTACCCACACCAGGTTTTTGTTGAAAGTATTCTATTTATTCATTCAGCAAATATTTATTGATCATATATTGTGAGTAAGACAGTTTTTCGGCTCTCTAGTGCTGCTCTAACAGAGAAGCACAAATGGGTGGCTTTAACAAATAGGGATTTATTCTCTTACAGTTTAGAAGGCTAGAAGTCTGAGTTCAAAGTGCCAACCCCTAGGGGCTGGGTGAATGCCCCTCAGCCTTAGGCTTCAGCTCTGCCTCTTGCTTCTGGCACTGAAACTGGAGGCTTCACTTAACTCAGGCAGCTGCTGGCTTCTGAGTGTGACAAACCCAAGGTTTACAAGTACAGTGGCACAGTCCCAAGATTATCAAACAACACGGCAGGCCACAAGTTCAAGTCCAGAAAAGTCACAAGATCAGCAGACAACATGGCAGCCCATTGAGATGAAGACTCAGCCACACATAGGGTCCAAGCATCCCAAAGAGCTCTGGGACCTTTCTCAACACTTCTCCTTATGTATTGGAAGCAGACCACATCCCTAAGGCATCTACTCAGCTGCTCCAGTAGATTCCACCAGGGAGTTGATTACCAGTCTCATTATGGGGAATAACTACATCCATCTGCCCAGCCACTCAAAACCAGGTGCAGTCAAGTTGACTCACGACTTAACTACCACAACATTGGAGATGAAGAAATCAATTCTACCCCTCAAGGAGCTCTCATGGTCTAGTAGGGTGATCAACAAATTAAGACATAATGTCTGATTGTAATAGTATAAGTATGTACAAGGTTCAAAAGTAGCACAAGAAGGAACATCATTATTCTCCCAATAGCCACCAGGATGCTTCTTTTTTAAAATTATTTTTTCCTTTATTTATATTGTGATTTGGGTGAAATTTTACAAAGCAGATTAATTTTACGTTCAGCAGCACATACACATTTTGTTTTGTGACACTGGTTACAATCCCCATAATGTAACAGCTCTCCTCCTACTTCCTCTCTGTGGTTACTCTTTCCTTGTGTCCTTCTTGCCTATGCATTCTGCCTCCCTACCTTTCTCCCTGTGCAAATGCTGCGCTTCTGATCTCCCATAGTTGATTGTTCTAAGGAGTGCATCTGCCTGGTATAGTTGTTCTGTTCACAGGCCTGTCTGTTGTTTGGCTGAAAGTTAAACTAAAGGAGTAAGTCCAATTCTAGGCCTGAAGGGTGACTAGGGACCATAGTCTTCAGGACTCAGGATGCTGCTTTTTAAAATTAAGTCAAGCTATCTACTTAAAATCTTCCATTAGCTTCTCATCTCAGAGAAAAGGCCAGAGTCATTTCAGTGGCCTATAATGCCCTGTATCATTCACTCCTTCCATCACTTTATCCCATCTCCTACTACTCTCTCTCTTTCTTACTGTGTTCCAACCACATTGATTTTCCTTTATTCCTGGCTTTGGGTTTTTGAATTTTCTATTTTCTTTGCTCGTTGTTTGTTATGTGCCGTCGAGTCGGACTCAACTCATAGCGACCCCTCCTTGGGTTTCTGAGGTGGTATCACTACAGAAGTAGATTGCCCAACCTTCCTTCTGAGGAGTGGCTGGTGGGTTTGAACCACCAGCCTTCTGGTTAGCAGTCAAGTGCCTTAGACACTATGCTACCAGAGCTCCCTCTGCTTAGAATATTCCTTTTCCAGATAACCCAAAGCATTTGCCTCTGTTATTCTTTGGCTCACATGAAACTTTATTGGGAGATCTCTAATCACCTTATTTAATATTATAACTCACTTTTTCTCCCATTATTCTCTACCCTCCTTCTTTGCTTTGTTTTCCCATTCTATTGGATATACCTGACATCCTCTCTATTTTACAGATTTATTTATTATCCTTTTCCCCCACAAGAATGAAAGCTTCCTGAAAGAAGGGATTTGTTCCTGATTTGATTTCTCTGTTGCTCTACCCCACCATCTAGAACAGTGTGTAGCACTTTAAAGATTTTTAAGAAATGTGTAAATGAATGAATTCTTTTGGTGGGTAGAAGGAGGTCTAGAAATTTTCTCAGAGGAGTATTTTTTCTCACAAAATTTCTTTCACCTCTCACATTATCCTCAGAGCTAAAAAATGGAGCTTTCTTTTCATATCTCTCATAATTTGGATGTAACATTTGTTTTTATTTTAATTATTTTTAGTTTATAATTTCTGGTCCATAGTATTTTCCTTTGAAATACTCCTTGATGATTTTTTTTTTTTTTTTTTTGTGAATACTTATATTTTACAATCCTGGTCTGCTTTGGAAACTTCTTTGATCAACAGGCTTTTTAAAGTAGCTGGCTCAATACCATTTTGCTGGAATTAAGGTCGATTGCTTTCAGGCAATGCACAATCCAGGCTACGTAACAAGTCTAGACTCTATTTTGGTTTATTCTTCCCTAGAAGAGGCAAACTAGAAACGAGGTAAAGATTTCGTGGGGAGAAGACCCGCTTGAGTCTTTCCTTAATGAAAATGAATAAAAGGAGAGCAAAGCCTAGACTCTCTTCAACTTCTAGGCTGAAGATCAACTCCCCCTTTTTATGCTTTATCTTTCTCTGAGATGTGAATAAATACATTCTCATGTATTTATTCAGGGATACAGGTGAGGAGAGACAACTCAGGGATGCCCAAAGCAGCAGGCCAGAAGAGCAGGAGAAAGGGGATTAAAAGCCAGGAAGCCAGACAGAGGAACAGTCAGCCACAGGGACCCAGGTGGGGGTGGTACAACAGGTCTCCAACAGCAAGACAAACTTGTCTGTCGGATTGTCCTACTGTGGTGACATGTAGACATGAGTTTTGAGGCTGAGCCTCTGGTGTTTAAAACCCAGTGAGATGCACCTGGTGTACAGGTAACAGCCCAACTCATAGACTGAGACAGACTAGGAAGAAGGAAGAG